GGAAACCTGTGTTTTTATGGCTGTGGGTGGGAGGTGGGAGGAGAGGGGGTGGTCACGGGAGGCCAGGGGTGGGAGGTGATATTGGAGTGTGGTTTGATGGATGTTGGCGTAGGGAGTGGTGGGGGGGGTTTGAAACATCCTCTTACCGTGGAGGTTACAGGTTTGAATCCCTGTGCTCCTCTTCATCCAGACCAAATAATAGCATTTTTGTTTCTCATAATGTTTTACATATTTTCGTCCAGTATACCACAGAGCAGGAGTAATGGTTTCCATGACGGTCGGTAAAAAAAGGTCAACTTTGTTTTTATTTAAATATTGACGAAGACATCAAACAGGTGTACTGATGGAACCCTTTCCAAAAACAAAGTTTAAGGCCATTGTTGTATTACTGGCACTAATGAATTGTTGTCGACGTAACAGGCAGTTAAATGGCTTCTAAAGGAAGAGTCAGATTTGTGTTCTGTTCCTCATCATCAGAACCCTTACTACTGATGATGATGATGATGATGATGATGTCAACATCCTGTTTGTCTCTGTGGGGGTCAAACCACGCATTAACCTGCTTCAGATGTTTGTGTGTAACATGACTGAGTGAGGAGGAGCCACAGCTGTCAAACACCAGGCGTTCTCTCTGTCTTTCTTATGACCTGACGTCACCTGGAGTCAGCAACGACACGGACGCACAGTAACATTAAAAATTAAAGATTGATGTGAGCTGAAGTCTGATGTCATCACAGGAGTTGTGTGTGTTCTGAATATGGCCGTGCTTTTGTAGGGACATGTTGTGTAAAGAATACTTTTCCTGTGGGGGACCTTTGACCCCACAGGTCTCTAATATGTCCTTAAGTGTCAGTGTCTTCAGAGTTACACTGAGGAATGACGTTGACCTGGTACATACGTGTGTCCGTGTGTGTGTGTGTGTGTGTGTAGCTGGACACAGATGGAGGTTCTGTGGATTTCGACTGATTCCGTTTTAATCTGAGCCTCTTCTAATTGTGGAGGATATGGGGGAGGTGGGGGAGGCAATCATCAAGGGTCTCCCCTCGAGCTGCAACTTTGAAGTAATAAGTGGACAGGGGTCCTTGTCATTAAGACACAGCCTTTCATCTGAGCTGTGTGTGTGTGTGTGTGTGGACATTGTTAGCAGAGGGCAGGGCTCTGGAGGAAGTATAAGAGGGTATAATTGTGGATTCTCATAGAAAAAGGAAACAAACCACATGGTGTTCCAGTTATGATGGATACTCACGGCTGTATTTTCAGTTTTGATTGATTTTTTTTTTTTTCAAGTTCTTTTCAAAAAAGGACGGTTGGTTTCAGCAGTTTGAGGGATGGTTCAGATTGGTCCACCTCACATGAGCCTTCCAGTCACCTCATGTGACAGTTAAGTTTCTTTTTTCTTTTTTTTTAAGATACTGTAGATACTGTAATAGCACCTGTTATTTCTGAAGGTACACCCTCTAAAGAAGAGGTTTTTTCAGGCAGATAAACGTTCCCCTGTTCCCCTGTTTAGTGCCTGGTTCTAAAACTAGTTTCTAGTTCTTTAGCATCTGGTTCTAGTTCCTAAAGAGTAAAGACAGTTCCTCCAAACACTGACAGCAACTGTGCTGAAATCTTGAACCAACTCTTTGTTCACAAAGTGTAACTGGATAGATAGATCTATTCAGCCTTTGAAGAACCTCAGCTTCTCAGGTGCATTCATGGAGAAGATCTTGGTGTTTGAGTGTGTGGATCAGATGAGGGCATGAGGACGAGGAGGTGACCTTCTGTAGAGGACCACCATAGACCACAGGCCCTCAGTGAGCTGATGGAACATTTCTGAAGTCTCACTCAAACCTCTTTTTTTCACTCTGTCTTCTCGTCCTCATCAACAATCGTCTGACTGAAGGCATTTTCATTAACTCGTCCTCTCAGTGGCTCGCTGCCTCCAGCACCTCAGGACGTCATGGGCGTCGGTGGCAGAGACCAACGGGGAACTCTGCCCCTCCCCCCCCCCCTCGGCCCCCTCCACTCCATTGATTGAGGCCCGCTGTTTTCAGCGCAGCACTTAGTCGGATCAATGCCGTTTGCCCTGACCTTAACTACCTCAGCTTCACAGCTCCTGTCAAACCACTCTGCTGCTTTTATTGGCTGAGAGCGTCAGGGGAGAGAGAGCCATTTGTGAGCCAGGCCTGTGATAGTCTGGGTTTCACTGGGGGACTGTTTTGTCTTTTTGAAGAACCCACTTCACTTTTGAGTTTTTGACTTCACCACAGGGGCTTCCATTAAGAGTCATTTTCAAAGTAAAACTACATCATCCTGCAGCACTGGCTGTGAGAATGAGACCACACCAGTGGTGCCCAGTAAGGAGAGTGGGATCCACCAGTAGATCAGAAGCTGAAGAACTAGAGACTAGTTTTAGCCGTCACTCGATGGGTAGATGACTTTCTCCTGCTCATTAGAATAGTAGCTGCCAGGTCAGGAAACTGTGGACTCCCCTGTACTACATCACCATATACAGTATTTATTCATAGATATACTCTGTATACTAAATTTATACTAGGTTTGTTTAACAATTCTGATTGATCACAGGTTGGCCAGGGATGAGCCATGATTAATCATGAATAATTCAGATTAATCCTGATTGTAATTAAGCATTAATTATTATGATTATGATCCACATTAGTCAACTCTTTCACTGTATATTACTGGAGCAGAAAATTAATGAACAGTAGGCTGGTGTAGGCCGCTGTAGGTTGGTATAGACTGCTGTAGGCTGCTGTAGGCTGGTGTAGGCTGCTGTAGGCTGGTGTAGGCTGGTGGACCGGTCCAAATGTTTAAATTATTAATATGGAAAAATGTCATTACTGAGCATCTTGACAGTGACTTATGGAACTTTGGACACATCAGTGAAGCCATCGTCCTCGACAATATTAATCAGGCTCCAGTCCCTCATGATTAATGTGACAGTTGTGTCAGTTGACTTGTCAGCCGTAGTCTGAGGCTGGACTGACATAAACTGGACATCTGACCTGAAGTTGAAGCCTCCAGAACTGCATGCTGGGCCTTGAAGTGATATCCCCAGCTCCAGGTGAAACAAGACTCTTTACCCTCAGTGTCTGTGAAAGACAACATACTGTGTACCAGAGCAGTAGGTCCATTCATGGAGCCGAGTCGCTCTGTCTGTGTCAGTGCTGAGATATTTTCTACCACCCGTTCTCCTGCTCCTTCTCTCCAGCAGTAATTACTGCACTAAACCCCAGCTCTAAGCATTTCAGGGTGTGGTAGAAGCTCTGGGTCTGAGCTACACTTGGACAATTATAGTCTTTTAGGGATGAGCAGCATCTGTCTCTTCTCTCTCTGTGTCCTCGGAGTCTCTGAGGGATGAAAGAAAAAGGCTGGAGCTTCTCCTCTGTGTGAGCAGCAGCACATTTCCACTTCTCAGCAGTCAGCTCTGGAGCCACAAAGGACCAACACGCTGCTTTGTTTGGTGTTTCTGGGATGTAAATAAGAGGTGGCTGTCCTTCAAAGCAGCAGCTTGTTGAATCAATAACCTTTCTTTCCACTGAAACAAAGGCAAAGGCAAACAGAGTGTTTCTCAGCTGCCCAGAATGCACCAGTAAATATTTGGCATCCTGTCTACTGTTTGAGGATGTAAATAACTTTTTAAAATCAAAGAACAAGCGAGACTTCGAACAAATGCAGAATGTTCCTGTTCAAAAAGGGTTAAAAAGGGAGTTTTTGTAGAAACAGATTTTATATTTTGAACCTTAACTACAATAATAATCCATGGACAAACACACCCACAGGTTGTTCATTAATTCATTACAATCAGCCTGACTTCATGGAATCTGTTGTCGGCTTTAGACGATTTGTTTAGAACAAAAACTAAATGTTTAAAAATGTAATGAAAATGGGTGAATTTCAGTCAGTAAAATGTTTAGACACGTTGATGCGGTAACGTGTCTAAACAAAAATGGGTGAATTTCAGTCAGTAAAATAGTTGTATAAACGGTTTAGACACGTTGATGCGGTAAAAACAGGACACATGTAGTAAAGGCCAGTGACTGAGTCGAACAATAATCGTACATTTCCTACAAGACATTTGTCTTCGAGCTGTACCTTTTTGGGCTGTTTGTGTTGTTCCCTCAGTTAATGATCATGTGGATGAGGGGCAGAGCTGACGTTTAGCAACAGCGACCACATCAACAGAGAGAGTGTGTTCAGATGCTGCCTCACCCCCGGTACGGCCCACCACACACACATGTACATCTGTGACTGTGGGGGGGGGAGTAGTGATGAATGTGGACACCTGTCAAATAAATATTTGATGCACTGTTCAGTCAGCAGTGGTGTGTCACCTGTGGTGGTCAGCTGCTTCAGGGCACTAACTAAAATCTAGTGTACTGTCCCTTTAAATAGTGATTAGCCATCACTAATTCATGCCGCTAATCCTGTCAACAACTTATCCATTTGCTCACATCCTATTGGCTGCTGCGTCAGCTGGACGTGTGTGGCTGTTCGTGTGTGTGTGAGCTGCTGGTCACACACACACACGGAGATGGAGATGTGTGTAAATGAGGAGGAGGAGGAGGGTTTGAGAAACAAAGAAAAAAGAAAAGCCAATAAAATAGTGATGAAGAATAAGATTTGTCAAATGGTGGGAGGGAAGGAAGTCAGTGTACGGGTGTGTTGGAGGAGGGAGGGACCACAACGAGGGGGGAGAGGAAAGAAGAGAAGGAAGTAAAAG